ATCTAAGACGGTATTTAAAACGTGATTTGAGACTTTATTTACGACGTTATTCATGACGTCATTTAAGAAATTATTTAATCCCTTTTCTTGTGTTAAAAATTAAGAGCGGTTATCCAAACAATTCGACATTTGAAATTAATAGAGAGATTGCGAAAATTCGCAAATTGTTATAATTTTTTTTGTCCTGATTTCCATCTCACTTTACGCTCGCAATGATAAATAATGAGATGCGTTGATGTTAAATCTCGATAATAATGTAAAATATTTCAATATTTTATTACATGAATCAGGTATTCGTGACACTGAATAATATTGTACTTGAATATTTTACAAATTGGCCGCCGTATATTCGGTCAATGAATGACGTCGTTGGCCGCTTATGATTCTACTATAATTTCAAAAGATGTATGAGCATGAATTCGTGTGATTAAAAAAATAGATATTTGTGCATTCATGGAAGAATAAATAGAACGCTATCATAAGTCTGGCTTTAAAAAGCGTTTCGCTTCGCTCGTATAAGCTCTATGTATTATTTTATGGAGAAAAGATATTTTTACGTTCCACTGACGCTGAAAACTTGGGGCTAAATTCCTAGTTTTTCAATGCTGTGAGAGTATGAAAACCAAATTCATACATGCTTGGTAGAAAACTGCTCTAATGTACGTTTGGCATTCAACTAAAACACTCCTTTATGTTGCACACAACTGGAAGCTTGCGTCATGCTACAGAATCCTCGTTGCATTTTAGGCACTGTAATCACTTGGTCTTACGTCTGGTATTCAAACGACTTAATCGTACGTCTGGAAACCAACCACAGCGTTGCAGGCAGCGGCTCGAGTATGACAGCTTGGGCTGCGCTTAAGAGTCCGGCCACCCAGGAACATGGCTGGCGGCCATGACAGAATGCTGCTTTGCCACGATTGTTCCTCATAGGGCCATGTCAGCCATGAGGACGTCCCTGAGGATGTTTCTCATAGGGTCATCTCAGCCATGAGGATGATGGTCATAGGGCCGCACCTGCCACCAGGACATATTATACTCCATGAGGGCTGGCAACTGCCGCCGCATGTTAGACTGCCAACTGCCGCAGCCTGAGATACCGCCACTTCTCCCTAAGCAAACGACAATAAATTCGTTAAATCGCCTGAGATTATAGGCGATATATCGGCGGCCATCATGGCAGAGATGGAGACACGGGATGACCCAACTCTGTATGCCCTAACTGTGGGTGCTCTAACTCTCGCTGGCTCAACTCTGGGTGCCAGTAACTCTGAGTGCCCTAACTCTGGGCATCTCAAATCAGTATGCCCTAACTCTGGCTGACCCAACTCTGACAGCCAGTAACTCTGGATCCCCCAACTCTGGATGATCCAACTCTGGGTGTCTAATTCTTGGTGCCCAAACTCTGGATGCCCTAATTCTACTATCGGGGCCCCAACTCCGAGTGCTCTAATTCTGGGTGCCCTAACTCTGGATGACTTTAATTTTTCAATTACATCTGCGCGTTTAAATGATAAATAAGAATAGTTTACGTATGATTGTGTTCAAATGATATCACAAAACGTTAGTTTTAATATTATGAATAAATGTTTTGTAACAATCAGTGTAAATAGTGAAATTCAGACGGGGCCTTCAGAAGAGTACTGAAATTCAGACATGACATTCAGAAGAATAAGGAAATTCCGAAACCTACTCTGATATTAATAATTTATTCGTTGTTACATATCAATACAGCTACCCTCAGTATATGAAGAGTTTGTTCGCTAACGCAATAAAATTACAAGAACGTAACTATAAAAATACCATTTCCATAGCGTATAAAACGGTACATGAACGCGATATTTCTACACGACGAACAGAACGGCTTTATTCAATAAGTAAATAAATATTCAAGAGTGTGTTTTATATTCTCATTGTCACATTATGTCTTTAAAACCGTCTTCATTGAAGTGATAACCCGAAAGTGTATTATGCCTCTGAATAAATTAAATTCAACTCTATTGTAATTATTAAATAATTATTGATTTATATTCAACTATATTGTTAAAATAACCCAGAAGTGTATTTTACCACAGCCTGAATCGATCTTCAAAATATCCGTAACCATTTTTACTGCATAACTCAACACCTGTATTTTGTTTTTGCCCGAATGGAATATAACTTTGAAAAATTACATTTTTCATTATGAAAAATTACATTTTTCAAAAGTAACTCACAATTTTTCGTTTATTTGTCCCACAGAGAAGCAGGACGACGAGACGTCAGTTAGAGTTGGTGGCAAAGGCAAGAAGATGCGCAAGCCGCGCACCATATATTCAAGTCTTCAACTTCAACAGCTCAACAAAATATTTCAACGCACTCAGTACCTCTCCCTGCCTGAGCGAGCTGAACTTGCGGCCAAACTTGGTCTAACTCAAACTCAGGTGAGTGAGTTGAATTAATACTGAATCATACATTTAGTATGGTGATACACACACACTGAGTATGGTGATGCCCACACACTGAGTATGGTGATACCCACACACTGAGTATGGTGATACCCACACACTGAGTATGGTGATACCCACACACTGAGTATGGTGATACNGTAAGGAAGTATGTCGGTATTTGGACCACCTGACCCATTCATGTTTCTGCGTGTATGGACGGCAGCCATAAGCCTACTTTTAGGCACCATCCAATTTTTCGGAATGAGGCGCCCGTCTTGAGGCTGAAAAAACAGCATGAAAAAAATAATTGAAATGAAACAGAAGCCGAGCATGCGTGGGAACCAAAAGATATTGCCGAAGTTAGTCTCGATATTGCATGGGGAAATGAAATCTAAATGTGATGATTGGATTCTGTGAAAGAAGAATTGATAAGGACTATTTGAAATTATATTTACGCAAACATATTATGTATATGCTTGGGTATGTGTGTAATGTACATGTAAACTTGTATCATTAACATTAACATGATTATGGATGAATTTAACGATTAAAACGTAACACGTGCAACACTTATCTGCGAAGCCAATACTATTAACAATACTAGGGCAAATACTAATACCAATAGCATAAGTAAACTAATACAGCAGCCGTGCCCCAGCAATAAATAAAAAATAGCGCGTGTATGGAGGCAAAACTTGATTACACGTGTCGTACAACTACTTCCTGCTGTACGATTGGGGCACAGCTGTGGAATAGGCGTCTTATAGGTGTGTTATAGGTGTGATGTTAGCGTGATAAGGCGTGATATTGGCGTGATATTGGCGTAATATACAGGCATGATATTGGCGTGATAAAGGCGGGCTATTGGCGTGATAGTGGCGTGATGCTGGCATGATACAGGCGTGATATTGGCGTGACATTGGCGTGACGGTAGCGTGATATTGGCGTGATATACAGGCGGGTTATTGGCATGATACAGGAGTGATATTGGCTAGATATTGGCGTGATATTGGCGTGATATACAGGCGGCTTATTGGCGTGATATTGGCATGATACAGGCATGATACAGGCGTGATACAGGCGTGATATTGGCGAGATATGGCGCGATATTAGCGTGATATACAGGCGGGTTATTGGCATGATATTGGCATGATATTGACGCCCAGAAGCAGTTTTTAAGACGAATGATGGCCAATATCGCCGGCTCCAAACCGAATCGATGATACCAAACGATGATATTGTTATTCATGCTACTCATTCACTGCGTGTGCTCGAGTTCATCGGTTATTCACTTTGATGTGAGTCATGCCTGTGCGCCACGTGACCTGAAATGAATTATGATGGTTGGCCGGCCTTAATGCGCCGATGATTTGTAATGAGGAGCGATTATTTATTCTCGAGTGGAATTGTCTGGTTGATTTACTGTGATCTTCACAGTGTCTTTCTGGATGAATGTTCTGTTTTTTTCTTATTTTTCTCGCGCGTCACTAAGTAGAGGTCGGAAAAAATAGCCTTATTTTTCTTGGTGTCGGAAATTAGATGTCATCTTCTTGACGTTTGTGATCGAACTCAAGATTTTTGTTTAGCTGGTTCAGTATAATTATGATGATGATGAATGCCTGGTGATTTTGCTAACGATAATCATGCTCACTGCGGTCAGTGTCATCATCACTATCATCACTATCATCAAGATAGTGATGAGTCCGTACCCCAGGATTCTGGAATTTTCTTCTCTGCTCATCACCAAATTTGCATTCTTCGTGCTCGCAAATTTTGCTCGCTAATTTCACAAATTGTTATTTTGCTTTTGGCAATTCGACGGACCGTGAATGTCTTCGTCCGCGTAGTTTCTCTTCCGGTTTCATCAAGATGATTTCTAAGGAATTCGTTGGTGAAGTTCGCACTTTTTTGTGGCTAAAATAAATTAGGATGGATCTTTAATTTGAAGATAAAACAAGAAAAGAATTAATTAACTTGAGTATTTAATTTGAAGATGCATTTAAAAAAAAACTTATTAAAAAACCAAATGTTGCGATGGGAAAATATTTTAATTGATTTTTCACTCAATATGACTGATTTTTTCATTCTTTTAGCATGAATGTGGAGGTTGAATTCTTCCTCATTTCGCGCTGAATTTGTGTACACATAATGTTAATAATAAAAAAAATAATAATAGTGATGATGTTATTATTATTACTATTAATACTATAATCCTGCCAATATATAATAATAATATATAACAGCACCAGTAACAACAGCAACAACAGTAACAGCAGCAACAGCACCAGCTTCAACAGCACTAACAGCACCAGCAGCAACAGCACCAGTTTAAACAGCCGCAACAGCACCAGCTTCAACAGCACTAACAGCTATTTTCTGCTGGGAGAAAGAAGAACCTAATATATTTCTACTCTGGATATATTTTACATATTATACATTCTTAAGCCAAATATACTCATGCGCAGGACATATTCTTACTATGCATAAATTAGTAGGCAAAAATTTCCTTACACATGAAACCTCATTAAAAATATATTTCTGATTATTCGTTAGGTATTCCTACGCCTGATGCATTCCTTCGTTAGATGTATACCTACGCTGGATGTATTTCAATGCCTGTATGTATTCCTACGCTGGATGTATTCCTCCGCTGAATGTATTCCTACGTTGGATGTATTCCTAAGCTGTATGTATTCCTACGCTGAATGTATTCCTACGCTGGATGTATTTCAATGCCGGATGTATTCCTACGCAGGATCCATACGCCGCGGAAGATTTGTGTGTCCGGCCGTTGACTGTCAAAACCTGCCACGCTGATCTATGCGCGCACTAGGTTATTGTGCACATTGATCGATGCGCACTAGATTATTGCGGCAATGATCAACCAGAACTAGATTATTGTGCGCACTGATCGTTAGCACTAGATTATTTATATTATTGCGACACTGATCAACTCGAACTAGTTTTTTTGCGCGCACTGATCGTTATCACTAGATTATTGTGACACTGATCAACGCAACCTAAATTATTGCGCGCACCTATCTTGTGCACTAGATTATTGCGCGAACTGATCATCGGCACTAGATTATTGCGCGCCCTGATCGATACGTATGCATCGATTATTTACGCACGTGTATTAATACGCACGAAACATGCGTACTTTTTCGCACGGTAGAGCGTCTGGTCTGAGCCCGTCTCTTTATGCTTGAGCTATTTTGTTGTTTTTTTTTCTTCTGTTTGATGTTTGTTTTAAATTTGCATTAAAAAACACTAGAGCGGCTTTCATCACAGTGGCCATGCTTGTGGCTATCATCACTGAGAAAAACAATCATTTGCTTGCATTCAACAACACAGCGTAGGTGTTTGTGGCTATCATTACAACAAAGAACAACAATCATTTGTTATCATTCAACAACACAGCGTGGGTGTTTGTGGCTATCATCACAACAAAGAACAACAATCATTCGTTATCATTTAACAACACAGCATAGGTGTTTATGGCAATCATCACAGAGAACAACAATCATTTGTTATCATTCAACAGCACAGCGTGGGTGTTTGTGGCTATCATTACAACAAAGAACAACAATCATTTCTTATCAATCAACAACACAGCGTGGGTGTTTATGGAAATCATCACAGAGAACAACAATCATTTGTTATCATTGCCGACGTTTGTTTTCGGTTGGAATCGATGCGGTGGCGTCACGCTGCCCGGTGGTCGTTAACCGCAATTCGCGTTAACGACTTGGAGGAGTTGGGGGGGGGGTTGTTACATCCACCCCCTAACAAAGGGGGTGTTAGAGGTAGTGGTTTTCGCCGGATTATCTCCGACGATGTTAATGAGATGAGAATTAAAAATTAGTGAAGATAACCGCTCTTAGTTAAAAAGTTATTGATGATAGCCGCTCTTAGTTAAAAAATCAATGAAGATAACCGCTCTTAGTTAAAAAATCAATGAATATAACCGCTCTTAGTTAAAAAATCAATGAAGATAACCGCTCTTAGTTAAAAAATCAATGAAGATAACCGCTCTTAGTTAAAAAATCAATGAAGATAACCGCTCTTAGTTAAAAAATCAATGAAGATAACCGCTCTTAGTTTAAAAATTAATGAAGATAGCCGCTGTTTGTTGAAAAATTATTGAAAATAACCGCTCTTAGTTGAAAATAATATGCGTTTAAAAATTACTTTTTAAAGACAACACTTCTAAAGAATCCAGTGTCTTGGATGTTACACATGTACAATGAATTTCTAATTTTATTTTCAAATATTAAAAATTTATTTTCAAAATTTTATTATGATATCAAAATTTTGTAAATTTTCAAAATTATTTATTCTGTCAACTGATTCATGCATTGTCTCCGACTTTACGCAAGTGTGCAAAATTTCAGATCGATTGAACAGGTCAAGTTGTGTTATATTGATTATAAGATTTGTAGCAGACGAATTTATTTTAAATATTTTTTTAATAATGAAAAAGTTGTTAATTTATGAAGTTATTTATTCGTCAATTTATTCACATATTGTCTCCTACTTTACGCAAGTGTGTAAAATTTCATATTGATTGGGCAGGTAAAAGTGTGTCCAATATCGATAATAAGATTTGTAGCTGACAAAATTATTTTTAATTTTTTTTAATATTGAAAAAATAAATTTTTTATTTTTAAAATTATTTATTATGTCACTTGATTCATGCATTGTCTCAAACTTTATGCAAGTGTGGCAAATTTCAAATTGATTGGACAGGTAGAAATGTGTTAAATATTGATTATAAGATATGTAACAGACAGACAGACAGACAGACAGACAGACAGACAGACAAGAAGTGAAGTTAAAGAAAAGTGTTGTAATAAAATTAAACAAGATAACCACTCTTAGTTGAAAAATGAATGAAGATAACCGTTCTTACTTGAAATAATAATAAAGATAACCGCTCTTAGTTAAAAAATTATTCAAGATAACCGATGATTGTGAGATGAAATTAGTTGAAA